ATATATATTAATTTTTCTATCTCTCAGGAACAGCACTTTTTTCTGGATAAAAGCATGTTCTTTTCTGTATCCTTAAAAATGTGAGTTCAAAATTTCATGATAATTGGTGAGCAGTTAAGACGCGAAATCATTACAAAGAAACGAACACTTACATTCGTATTTATAATATTTATAGAATTTACAACAAAATAGAAAAGTATTTCATTATTAAAACTAATTAGAAAACATCGTTCAAATGCATCACAACAAATATTTTTCATACATACAATTTAGACATCTTTTCGAAGTGTGTTAGTTTAATATGAAATATTATTCTGAAAATTCATTTTTGATTTTTTTTGTACTGGGTAAAAAATTCAAAAATGAATTTTCAGAATAATATTTCATATTAAACTATTTTTCACATCTCTGCTTAAGTAACATACCCAAACAACGTTCCTCATAAAGAGCAGAAAAAATGTAGGCTTCTATACAAAAAAATCATTTAAACTCATTTCGTATGTTTACGACCCATTTTGTTTCTTTTAATCTTCTCTACCGTTTTTTCTTCTTGCATATAATTTATATTACGATAATTAAAATTGTAGCTCGTTAATTTCTCCCCTTTCTTGCTGATGGCGGCGTTGGAGAGCATTGTATGACACCCTTGTTAGTGGTTTCTGTCAACTCATAAACTCATCTAAAACGTTTTGAAGTCGCATAGAATAAGGTTCTACTACCGTGTTCCTTACTGCTTCTACTACTCTACTACCCTTAAACCTTTCATACGAAACTTCTGCTCAAGTCACCTTGTACAAGGGCTGTTCGCACCATCGCACCCTAAAATATGCCAGCAGCATGCTAGCTAATTCCACCTATACCAAAGGATAACGCATCCCCATATTACTATTTGCATTAAATAAACGCTTAAGGGCAGGTGCATCAACCCCTATTTTGTCGGTGACGGCAGTATAGAATCAATGTACTCGAATTTTGTATGTAGGGTGAAATAAATTCGAGATGATTTTTACCCTTCTCTAGCGGTTTAAGGTAAAATACGAGGTTTGTTCAAAAGGTATAGCGAATTTTGTTTTTATTCAAAAATTATTTATTTATTCGTGAATATCTATTTTGTCCCCTTCAAAGTAATCCCCACCAGATATTATACACTTGTGCCAACGTTCCCGAAGCACTTCAAAAAATCAGTTTTTGTGATCTTGTTCAGTTCGTCTTTCGATGCCATCTTGTATCTCCTCAATCGTAGCGTAGCATCGTCCTTTCATGGACCTCTTCACAAGAAGAAGAGGGCCTTCCGCCCTACCTTCCGGAGTAATCCGGAGGGACTGCCCGCCCACCAGCATTACTGGCTGGTGGGAATGAAACATCCAAAAGTTTTTTTTTTCTTTCAGTAATTAGGTTCAAGGAATCGGTTTCGCTATAGTTTATGTAGCATGCTGAACTATCTTTAAAGTCCGATGCTGGCGACATTATCAAATTCTGCTTGTCTACATCTCTTTTTGTTACATATTAATTTGTGTAATGTTATTCCCTTTTTTTATTGGTGTCCTCTTCAATTCCTACCTGACATCTCTTTTCTCTGTTTACAGTATTCCCTGAACGTTTATCGTGAGTAAAAGTAGACGAATTCTCAAATGGCGGCCATTAAAATTTCAGCCCAGAAGCGCATTGCTTTCTACTTTATCGGCCTGCTTTCGCCCAAACTGAATTGCAAATTTATAGAGTGAACGATTTAGATTTTAAACACCGACGGACGCTCTAGAAACGTTAAAAAATTTCCGACATCACACTAAATTCCCACAAAAATCTAATACAAAATTTACCAAAAACCGATTTACCTACTAATGAATAATTATGGTCCGGATGATTATCCTACGTATTAACTTCAATTGAGCTGTGAAAAATAACATTTCAGTTTTGAATTTGATCCTAAGAAATTTTTATGAAATTGCGAACCATGACTGATCCGGGGATTCTCTCAAGTACGCAATTACGAGGATTCTCTTTTCTTTGACAAAATCGCTTTGTCTTATGGTCAGTTTGATTCCTTTGGCATTTTGGGCAGTATCATAGTTGAGGACAGGATATCAGGATGTCTAAAACTCACTACGCTTGAAAACAATCCTTAATGAGAAATTTCAAGTGTTTGAAATAAGGTCGTCAGTCCTAAGATTAATTGGACACGCACCTCCACACCTTCCTGTCCTAAGCCAATCTTCGTATTTCACTAAATCTAGAACATCTCACATTCTTAATTATTTGCAAACAGTAATCTAATCTAGTTTACCTCTACTCCTCTTAACTCCTGCTTCTGCCTCTAATATGTCTCTGACTAGACATTCATACCTAAGGAGGTGTCCTACCAACCTATCTCGCCTATTTCTTATTGACTTCCATAGAGTCCTGTGTTCTCCTATTCTTTCTAATATCATTTCATTTCTAAGCACGGTATCCTCATCATTCGCCTGTAACACCACATTTCCAATGCTTCTAACCTTCTTTTTTCAGACGCGCTCACTGTCCATGTTTTACACCTTTAACAATTTTTTTTTCGGATTTCTAAATTAATCGTTCGCGAGTATAGATGTGACTTTTTTTAGTTGAAGGCGACTCGACCCTGCGCTATCCTCTGACTTATATCCCTACTATTCCTTCGGTCCTGACTTATCTGACCTCCTAAAATACCTAAGATGAGCCATATTCTTCTAATTTCTCGTCTCCTATCTTTATATTCGCTCTTTCCCTACTTTTTCTTCCCTTGCATATCAGTATTTTTGTTTCACTTTTATTTATTTTCATACAATACTGTTTTATCAATACCGGTTCCATTTTATTCAAAGCTATCTCTAACTTCTCCTTGCTAGATACTAATACTGCTTTATCATCTTTCTCAAGTTATTGACAAGGAACTCTTTTAAGTATTGAAATAAATTTGTGTATTATAAAAAATCATTTAAGGTTTTTCTTACATTGATTCCACTTGGACAACACATTTTATGTTTAATCCATAAGTTATCATACCTAATAATTTCTTCTGTTTTTAGTACGTAGGTACTTTTCTATTTACTGTATTGTTTTTTCGTGTAACTTAATCAGTTAGAATGATAAAATAACCTCAATTTATTTCTTAATTTCGACAAATAAATTATTTTAGTAAATATGAACCATTAATATGAAATCAACTTAATTTCTTCCCACTACAGATTACCTCAAGGTAATGAGGAAGAACTCTCTTAAATTAAATTGGTTACAGTATTGAAATAAATTTGTGTATTATAAAAAATCATTTGAGATTTTTCTTACATTGATTCCACTTGCTTCAACATTTCATGCTTATTTTAAAATGCAATTGAGTAACAATACTGCAACGACATGCTGCCTCGTTAATGTTCGGTTAGTGAATGAGTTGGAATGGAGTACGCATGCCGGTTAGGCGGTCGACACTCCTCACCTAGAAACACGAGCGGAGCAGGTCCTTGCATTTCCACCTGTCCTGCTCCTTCCTGCCGTTTTCCCGTAACAGAACGACATTGAGGCCACTGCTCAAACTCCTGCTATCACCCGTAAGGACGCATGCGTAGCACTAATCGAAGAATTTCGTACTGAAGCTCGTGTAGTTTCAATCTATCTACGTCCAGTTAGTTATACTTACGTAATGTGTATACATGTAGGTTACAACGCTGCTGGCCGAAACCCAGAAAGCTGAGCTTTAGCAGAGGGCTTGTGACGTGTTTCGTACGAGCGACAGGGAAATATCGTTTTCCGGCGATAGGGGCTGTTATCGAACGGACGTTGCTCGCAGTCAGTGGTGAAAATCCCTCTGTCGGTGGTTGTTTGGATTCGGCAGTGGTTTTTTGTTGACTTTTAGGATAATTGCGATTTAAATGAACGCGCGTGGTGTTTACGTCGCGGATAGGGGTGTGTCTTATCCATCCAGAGGGTAAATTACCATGACCTAAAAATCTATATACTCCCACAACAGCCTGAGGTAAGTGAAAAATATGGATAACTATTTTTCGCCTTAGCAGGATTTTTGGTTTTCCGAAAACTATATTACGAATTTAATTATACAGTAGATTTTAGAATTTAATACATTTGTCCATCTTTATTTCGTATATTTTGTCCCTAAAATTATTCAAAGATGCACTTTCAAATGAAAATGCCCTCATATGTACTTCTGAAAATTTGTTTAGAATTGCTCAAAGCTAATAAACTATTCCAGCACTCTTTAAAAAAAGTGGTGTCTATAAAAAGTTTTGAACTTTCCCAAATTATGAACAAATAAAAATTTTAATACTAAATTCTTTATTTCCTTGGCGTATATGCAGATCTCATAGCTATTTTTCTGAGTTGTTAAAGTTTTATGATTACTTATATACCTACCCATGATAATAACTAAAGATTATGAAACCATTAAAACTGAAGTTTCGAGAAATATGTATTTGGTGAATAAACATTAGTTTTATAGTGTGTTAGATGAAAAATTTCGGAATAATTTTGTTTTACTATAAAACCAAACTGAAGAATTATATTCCTCGTCATTTCTTCGATCTAACAAAATTGACTGAAGCTTACTGGGTGAACCATTATTATTGGAACAGACATACGATAACTAAAGTAAACACTAGTTGAAATAACAAACAAACTTGTTGAAACATGCTTTTTTGTAATCCTTTTCTTCTGAAATATGTGACAAATATGGAATTTAAAACAAGAGTCTCTGATATAATGACTGCGGTTTGTGAGATGGTTAAAATTTCATTTATATACCATAAAATCTTTACTTTTGTTAACGCTTATTTAAGATTTATGAGACCAACCTTCATTGTTCAGTTTTTTAAAGTAATACCTAACTCTTCTACATAACAGGCCTTTTGAAAGGTGTCTACAGGTTTCTTAGTCAGATAAAGTCATTAATCGGAAAAACTAATTTAAATTATAATAATTTTTCCGAAGGTAGGTATACCCGACTAGAAATTGGAAACAGGTTAACCGAATATAGGTTTTTCAAATTAGGATCGTATCAGCGTTTAATAGTTTTGTAATAGTATAAATTCCTAAATTCTGATTTGGATTGAATGTGAATAAACTCAATAAGTTGCAATATGAATTTCTGTAAATTATCCAATTCAGACTAATTTTTTTTTTATTCAAATAAATTATGATTTTACTAGTCTTTATTAGATACACTGAGTTGAGAAAATGTGGAAGGTAAATAGAACTATTTTCAATAGTACTAACCAATGCAGTTTCGATAACTATTATTTTAGCAAAATTGATCATAACACGGAAAAAAAATAGTTAAATAAAAAAGGTATAACCGGGTTACATTGCAGTTAAAAAAATGTTCTCGCATACATTCGCATACGGCAAATGTAAATTTGTACGTACAATATTGTTTTGTCGATTTACCACGGTATGTTCAAACTTTATATTAATTTTCCTGTAATCTGTAAGTAAAGAACTTTTGTCAGTATTTTTGTTTAATTTTAGGTTCACAAGTTTCAGAGATAAGAGTCAATTTTCATCTATTTTCTTAAAAAATTTTAAAACTATTTTAAAATTAAAAAATACATATATTTGAGACCATTACAACAAGCTCTTTCATTTGATATGTCACGCGGTACAATTTGCTAACCTTTTTTCTTTAATTTCCTCCTCATACCTGTAATAAATTTCAACTTAATCGGTCCAGTAGATTTGGAGCAAATTGACTGTGACGGACGGACAGATAGACACTAGTAATCCTATAAGTGTTCCGTTTTTCATTTGGACGAACGGAACCCTAAAAACATAAATATACTAACATTTTCAATTATTATAAAAACTAAAATAAAAAATATATAAGTGTTTCGTGTCGTGATGATGTGCAATATTTTATAATTTTGTCTTTTCTTGTTTTCTCGTTGGACCACCTCTTATAGAGAAAAACTTGAGTGGATTGAACAATTTTATTTATTAACAACTTAATACAAAAGGAATTTCACTTTACAAACTAAATTTGACTTTTGAAACCATAGCATCCGCCCATTGGATTCCATGATGCAATAACAAGTATTAATTAAAACACCTCGTGGTGATACTTAGACAAACCACTTAAACATAAACTGGTGTCGTTCTGGTACGGGTCTAAAGGCCGTCGTAGGTTGAAGTTGCTTCCTAACGTTTTGCTAATACGAACGTCTTCAGAGGTCCTTCTATTGTTCACGTCCAGCGTCGGAGATGGAAGGACCTATGAAAAAGCTTGCCACTCGTGCTAGCGAAAGGTTAGGATGCAACTCTAATAGATGGCGGGCTTTAAACCTACATCAGAGACAGTATCAGTTCACATACACATAATGTTTATTTTCTCTCACAAGCATTTTCTTTTCATTTACCGGATTAATAAAATGGAAAAAGGTAAGAGCTGTGCTTTTTACCTGTCTCAACTGTAAAAATGATAGTTGAACCCACTTATAATGTATTCAGTTTACTTCGTTGTTTGTTGTATTACAGTTTGCTACCTTGCGCAACTTGTTCTAGTTTAACAATAGTTGCTTCATTATTTCAGTGTTACATGCTTTATTTTTTCTAACGTAACATGAGAACAAACTTGTATTCCACCTAATTACAACAATATCACAATTGTCGAGTTGAAATGGCTACATTGGGTATGGGAACAAAAATTAGACACTGTCAGAAGACACAAAAATGCACGCTATACTTTTTTGTTAATTACATAAAGTACACATAACAATGGCATATAATTATTGATTTGTTTCTGAATAATCGTCCTTTACGTAAATATAACCAAATTTGAATGGTTTCATTAATTAATAACAACTATTTAACAAAAAATATGCAAATTACCATTAAGAAAGTAATTAAAATAAATAATTTTTGAAAAAACACAAAATTGGCGATATTTTCTGAACACACCTCGTAATCTGTAAGTAAAGAACTTTTGTCAGTATTTTTGTTTAATTTTAGGTTCACAAGTTTCAGAGATAAGAGTCAATTTTCATCTATTTTCTTAAAAAATTTTAAAACTATTTTAAAATTAAAAAATACATATATTTGAGACCATTACAACAAGCTCTTTCATTTGATATGTCACGCGGTACAATTTGCTAACCTTTTTTCTTTAATTTCCTCCTCATACCTGTAATAAATTTCAACTTAATCGGTCCAGTAGATTTGGAGCAAATTGACTGTGACGGACGGACAGATAGACACTAGTAATCCTATAAGTGTTCCGTTTTTCATTTGGACGAACGGAACCCTAAAAACATAAATATACTAACATTTTCAATTATTATAAAAACTAAAATAAAAAATATATAAGTGTTTCGTGTCGTGATGATGTGCAATATTTTATAATTTTGTCTTTTCTTGTTTTCTCGTTGGACCACCTCTTATAGA